TCTCTGTCTCTGTCTGTGTGTGTCTCTGTGTGTGTGTGTTTCTCTCTCTCTCTCTCTGTCTCTGTGTCTCTCTGTCTCTGTGTGTGTGTGTCTGTGTGTTTCTCTCTCTCTCTGTCTCTGTGTCTCTCTGTCTCTGTGTGTGTGTGTAGTTCTTGTGCTGCTGCTGTAGGTTGTGTACTCGCTCCTTCTCTGACAGTGACCTGTGTGTGCTGCTGTCGCTGCTGTGTTCTGTGGCTCTGGACTCTCACCTCGTCCTTAGTGAGGCCAGTGTGGAGCTCTACCCCCTGCTCTACACTCTGCTCAAAAACATCCGCCACTGGGACCTCATGGTAAGCCACACCAGCAACACCCGCCACTTGGTGGTCTTACTACACCTTGGTACTCATTTCATGTGTACTAAGGTCTGGATTGTCTCCATTGACTCCGTTAACAGGTGGGAGGGGCTAACTCTTTTTGCAGATTGAAACTATTGGATCTGAGTTTACTGTGACGTATGTAATGAGCCCGAGTGAGTGATTTAGCCTAGCTTTAGCATTTAGTTTAGCTTTAGCCATCTCCTTTGCCACTAACGGAGCCCGTGGGTAGTAGAGTCACAACATATTTGCTTCAATCACATTTACTAAACATTCCTCTTGCTCCGGCTTTTCTTGATATTTGGATTGAACCAGAACAGATTATTTTGCTACCACATTTTCCGCCAAACTACAACCAGCAAATTCAGCACAAACTCTTGAGGTCACCCAAACACCCGCCTCCCCTCTGCCGCGCCACATGTCATTCCTCGCACAGATGCGCAAAACCATTGTTGAAACACGAGGGAGGGTCACAATTAGAGCTGAAACAACTAATCGATTAATCGTTTTCTGGTTCACACGGACTCAAACAGAGAAAAAATGACATGAAAATGTTGTATTTTTGATTAAAACCGACTTTGTTTTTATAATTTCATGAATATCTGTCTGTCTCATCCAATCAGAGCAGAATTAGCACAAAGAGCCTGTTACAAACATTTACTTTAAGTTTACGCCTCAATACGTCCTCGAGTGTTGCCACTTTAGCTTTTTGTGATGAAAAAATAACATTTTTCTACACAATTCACAGCCAAGCGATTACTCGATTAATCGTAAAAATAATCGATAGATTAATTGATTACAAAATAATTGTTAGTTGCAGCTCTAGTCACAATGACCCGCTGTGATTAAGTTTGGGTCTGAAAGATATACATGACCCTGGGCCAAGTTGGGAGAAATCAACAAAATTCAGCTTGAAAAAATAATCACTTAGGCAACCCTCATTGTACAGTCTGACAGCACAGAGAAGACCTGCAGAATGCAGTTCATTGTGACCGTAACCATAGCGATGGCATCACTTGATTATTTCCTTAAGAGCTGCTTTACAACATATCTGTGGGACAATGAGAAGAATGGTCCTTAATGCTGAGTCCCTCCATGTGGTCTTTATAGTTCCTCCATCTGCAAACACATTTCAGTCTGAATGATTCCGGTACATTCTCCAAAGAACACTTGTCCTTCTTCCTCCAGATGCCTAAACTGTGTGTGTCTCTGACGGAGCTCACAGACGACCACCACAACATGTGTCACCTGGTTCAGATGTTGCCAGACCACAGCCGCGGGAAGTAAGACGATTCTACTCTCTTTGTCTCCTGTGGATTTTACACTAACTACAGAGCTCCTGTTGCCAGGATATATAGTGTTTTAAAGTATTAGTACTTGAGACCGGGGTCCACTAACTAGATCAGCTCAGACGAGAGTCCGGATCATACAACCTGATAACAAATGATGACAACTTTGAGTGTAATACACAGTACATAATCATAAGTCTTAATACTTACTACATTACAATTTTCAGAGAGACACCAAGTTGAAAAACCAGATTGTCCTACCTGTTCTCATGGTAACAGTTGCCTGAGTGATGGTTTCCAAGGTAGCGGTTGCCATAGGAATGGTTACCGTGGTGACTATTGCCATGGCAACCATCAGTATGACATCCGTTACTACAGCAACCATTGATATGGCCATCACTATGGCAACCATCCTGGACACCATTACTATGACAACTTTTAACACTAGGACCGCCGCACTCTTAACATACCTTGCACCGCCCCCTGCGGTCAGTTGACCGCTATGTATTTTGCGCTGATACAGCCTTTTGCCAAATTGATTGTTCACTAAACCAGAATTTGTTGTTGCAAGGAAATTGTGATCATAATGAAACTGTGTAAATTATTTGTCTAAATATGCTAAGTAATTGTAATTCCAGCCGAAATAAAAAAAAATTACGATGACTTTTCTGGCTAGATTTATTTTGTAACTTTGCAAACACGTAAAAGGTCGGTCACTATATGTTAAATTTGACTCAGTAACAATATGTAAATTCAAACAATATAAATGATAGTTTAGAAAAGCACGGGACCATAACGTCTTCGCGCTGCTATATACGTCTACTTCTTACGTCATCTCCAGACTGTTTTCTCTTTCCAGCCAAAATCACTGTGGGAAATATTATCTCGATAATAATAATAGTATTCGTATTGACACAAGATCATCAGCTAGGCTACCATCGTCAATGTACAAATTTTACACGGGACACGTTATATATATATATTTGTATTTATTTGAGACAAGCAGTGCTCTTTATGATCAGAAGAAAATTATAATCATTGCCTTGCAGTGTGCGCTGTGCAGAATAACACACAGTGTTATCTGGATAAAATAATAATATGAATAAGAATATATGAGGGCCGCTTCTGCCCCAGTCGCTCTCCTCCTGCAGGTGTCCGCGGGTGACGAGAGGCCTCACAGCGCTCTATCTGCACTCTGCCTTGATAGTTCATCTAATTGTTCTATTTTATTGCGATATTGTATTCTGCTTTATTGCCTTCTATGTATAAATATAAGAATGTAATTGATGAAAAGGCAGAATGGAGCAACAGCGCGCACACAGACACCTGCGTATGGCTGGCATTACGCGGCTCATGTGCGTTATTGCTTCTGGACTTGTTCCAACACTGCTGTCCGTGCCGTGAATGCACTACGGGTTTACGTTCAGATTTAGAATATTATAGGTGTTCTCCCCGCTGTCACTTTCTACCTCAAAATGTGACATCTCACCTCCGTCAGACTGTTCTCATTCAATGTCTTGAAGCACTGTCAGGGCTTCATACCGTGTACTTGCAGCTCTATTCATGTAATACTCCTCTCAATTCAAAACTCTTTCTCTCTCCCAAATAATAAAAAAAACCTCAAGTCCCTTTAGAGTCTAATGACAACATATTGATAAATTTTTATAAGGCACGAAAAAACCCCGGGAAAGGTTACTATGACAACAGTCGCCCCTGCGCCATGTATCCCTATGGGGCAGCAGAAAGGGCTGTGGTTTAGAAAAGTTAAAATGCGTGTAAATCTTGTTTTCTTTACTTTTTCCAAACACAAAACACACCAAAATATAAACAACAAGTACCCAGTAAAAGTCATAAAATTTCAACTTCTGGCGTTTTGTTTTGAATACACTAATTAGCATATTAAAGTGAGTGACGGTCAGTTGACCGCTAGGGGCGCTCCTAGTGTTAATAAACTCCCAAAAAAGAAGTGGAAAGAAATTCACCATACACACCTGTCAGTTGTCATGGTAACAGTTACCAGGGTAACGGTTGCCCCAGTGATTGCATTAGCAACGGTTTCCATGGTGCAGTCGACAGAACCTCCCAGAACATCTTTTTAATAACATGACTCTCTTCAGGACCCTGCGGCGCCACCTGAGCCTCGCCATGATCTCCAAACTGCTGGACGAGCGCTGTGCGTACAGACCTCACACTGCAGAACTGCAGGTCAGCTTTAGAACCGCCCACTCTGTCTTTAGAACCTCTTCCTCTGTCTTTAGAACCTCTTCCTCTGTCTTTAGAACCTCCTCCTCTGTCTTTAGAACCTCCTCCTCTGTCTTTAGAACCGCCTCCTCTGTCTTTAGAACCGCCTCCTCTGTCTTTAGAACCGCCTCCTCTGTCTTCAGAACCGCCTCCTCTGTCTTCAGAACCGCCTCCTCTGTCTTCAGAACCTCCTCCTGTCTTTAGAACCGCCTCCTCATCTGTCTTTAGAACCCTCCTCCTCTGTCTGCAACTTTAGCGCCTCCTCTAGAGCCTCCTCTCCTGTCTGCAGCTTTAGCGCCTCCTCTAGAGCCTCCTCTCCTGTCTGCAGCTTTAGCGCCTCCTTTAGAGCCTCCTCTCTCCTGTCTGCAGCTTTAGCGCCTCCTCTAGAGCCTCCTCTCTCCTGTCTGCAGCTTTAGCGCCCCCTCTAGAGCCTCCTCTCTCCTGTCTGCAGCTTTAGCGCCTCCTTTAGAGCCTCCTCTCTCCTGTCTGCAGCTTTAGCGCCTCCTCTAGAGCCTCCTCTCCTGTCTGCAGCTTTAGCGCCCCCTCTAGAGCCTCCTCTCTCCTGTCTGCAGCTTTAGCGCCTCCTCTAGAGCCTCCTCTCTCCTGTCTGCAGCTTTAGCGCCTCCTCTAGAGCCTCCTCTCTCCTGTCTGCAGCTTTAGCGCCTCCTCTAGAGCCTCCTCGCTCCTGTCTGCAGCTTTAGCGCCTCCTCTAGAGCCTCCTCTCTCCTGTCTGCAGCTTTAGCGCCTCCTCTCCTGTCTGCAGCTTTAGTGCCTCCTTTAGAGCCTCCTCTCTCCTGTCTGCAGCTTTAGCGCCTCCTTTAGAGCCTCCTCTCTCCTGTCTGCAGCTTTAGCGCCCCCTCTAGAGCCCCTCCTCTCTCCTGTCTGCAGCTTTAGCGCCTCCTCTAGAGCCTCCTCTCTCCTGTCTGCAGCTTTAGCGCCTCCTCTAGAGCCTCCTCTCTCCTGTCTGCAGCTTTAGCGCCTCCTCTAGAGCCTCCTCTCTCCTGTCTGCAGCTTTAGCGCCTCCTTTAGAGCCTCCTCTCTCCTGTCTGCAGCTTTAGCGCCTCCTCTAGAGCCTCCTCTCTCCTGTCTGCAGCTTTAGCGCCTCCTCTAGAGCCTCCTCTCTCCTGTCTGCAGCTTTAGCGCCTCCTCTAGAGCCTCCTCTCTCCTGTCTGCAGCTTTAGCGCCTCCTCTCCTGTCTGCAGCTTTAGTGCCTCCTTTAGCGCCTCCTCTAGAGCCTCCTCTCACCCCTTTGTCCTCCCTCAGTTGTGTGAGTTGACGCGGTACGTGAGGAGGATGAAGCCCTCGTCTCTGGAGCGTCTGGTGCGGAGCAGAGGACAGGACGCCCTGATCCTGGATCAGCAGGTCATTCCTCAGCTTCTGGGGTTTATGTGAATCATCTTTTTATTGTTTTACTTATTCTATTTAAAAGTATTTGCAAAAACCTTGGAATCTTCTATTCTCTACATACTGTATATTAGCTTAACAAATAGGGTTGTCTTTGAAGCCTCACAGGTGGCACTACGGCAGAGTGGTTAGCACTCTCACTTCTCAGCAAGAAGGTCCTGGGTTTGAATCCAGGTCGGAACAGGGCTGTTCTGAGTACTATGGTGCCCATCAGGGTCAAATGCAGATGAATTGCCCTAAGGGGATTGATAAAGGGCATCTTAACCTGTCCCTTACACTTACGATACTTTACCTGTACCTGTGCTGTCCCTGTACCTGTGCTGTACTGTACCTGTGCTGTGCTGTGCTGTACCTGACCTCAGTGATGTGTTGCAGGTGTACTATCTCTGCTACAGCCTTCTGACTCTGACAAACGAAGCCACCAACATGCAGTGGCTCCAGGCCGAGCAGAAGGTTTGTAGCTCTCTCCCCATTGGTTCCTCTCACATGTGAGTAGCTCTCTGCCCTCTGGTTCCAGGCCTCTCACATGTAGGTAGCTCTCTCCCCATTGGTCCCAGCCCTCTCACATGTAGGTAGCTCTCTTCCCATTGGTCCCAGCCCTCTCACATGTGGGTAGCTCTCTCCCCATTGGTCCCAGCCCTTTCACATCTGGTAGCTCTCTCCCCATTGGTCCCAGCCCTTTCACATCTGGTAGCTCTCTCCCCATTGGTCCCAGCCCTTTCACATCTGGTAGCTCTCTCCCCATTGGTTCCTCTCACATGTGGGTAGCTCTCTCCCAGTAGGTTCCTCTCACATGTGGTAGCTATCTCCCCATTGGTTCCTCTCACATGTGGGTAGCTCTCTCCCAATAGGTTCCTCTCACATGTGGTAGCTCTCTCCCCATTGGTTCCTCTCACATGTGGGTAGCTCTCTCCCAGTAGGTTCCTCTCACACGTGGTAGCTATCTCCCCATTGGTTCCTCTCACATGTGGGTAGCTCTCTCCCAATAGGTTCCTCTCACATGTGGTAGCTCTCTCCCCATTGGTCCCTCTCACATGTGGTGTTCTGTGATGCAGGAACATCTGATGGTTCTGTGTTCTGAGCTGGAGCGCCACGTCAAGTGCCACATCCGAGAGAGCGAGAAGTGTCTCTACCGCAGTAAGGTGAGGTCTCTACCGCGCAGTAAGGTGAGGTCTCTACCGCAGTAAGGTGAGGTCTCTAGCGCAGTAAGGTGAGGTCTCTACCGCAGTAGGTTGTGGTCTACCGCAGTAAGGTGAGGTCTCTACCGCAGTAAGGTGAGGTCTCTAGCGCAGTTAGGTGAGGTCTCTACCGCGGTCAGGTGAGGTCTCTGCCGCAGTCAGGTGAGGTCTCTACCGCGCAGTAAGGTGAGGTCTCTACCGCAGTCAGGTGAGGTCTCTGCCGCAGTAAGGTGAGGTCTCTGCCGCAGTCAGGTGAGGTCTCTGCCGCAGTAAGGTGAGGTCTCTGCCGCAGTAAGGTGAGGTCTCTAGCGCAGTAAGGTGAGGTCTCTAGCGCAGTAAGGTGAGGTCTCTACCGCAGTAAGGTGTGGTCTCTACCGCTGTAAGGTGAGGTCTCTACCGCAGTAAGGTGAGGTCTCTACCGCGCAGTAAGGTGAGGTCTCTACCGCAGTCAGGTGAGGTCTCTGCCGCAGTAAGGTGAGGTCTCTACCGCAGTCAGGTGAGGTCTCTGCCGCAGTAAGGTGAGGTCTCTGCCGCAGTGAGGTGAGGTCTCTAGCGCAGTAAGGTGAGGTCTCTAGCGCAGTAAGGTGAGGTCTCTACCGCAGTAAGGTGTGGTCTCTACCGCAGTTAGATGAGGTCTCTACCGCGCAGTAAGGTGAGGTCTCTAGCGCAGTAAGGTGAGGTCTCTACCGCAGTTATGTGAGGTCTCTACCGCAGTTAGGTGAGGTCTCTACCGCGCAGTAAGGTGAGGTCTCTAGCGCAGTAAGGTGAGGTCTCTACCGCGCAGTAAGGTGAGGTCTCTAGCGCAGTAAGGTGAGGTCTATACCGCGCAGTAAGGTGAGGTCTCTGCCGCAGTAAGGTGAGGTCTCTACCGCAGTTAGGTGAGGTCTCTACCGCGCAGTAAGGTGAGGTCTCTAGCGCAGTAAGGTGAGGTCTATACCGCGCAGTAAGGTGAGGTCTCTGCCGCAGTAAGGTGAGGTCTCTACTGCAGTCAGGTGAGGTCTCTGCCGCAGTAAGGTGAGGTCTCTACCGCAGTAAGGTGAGGTCTCTAGCGCAGTAAGGTGAGGTCTCTACCGCAGTAAGGTGAGGTCTCTGCCGCAGTAAGGTGAGGTCTCTACCGCAGTCAGGTGAGGTCTCTACCGCAGTAAGGTGAGGTCTCTACCGCAGTCAGGTGAGGTCTCTGCCGCAGTAAGGTGAGGTCTCTACCGCAGTCAGGTGAGGTCTCTGCCGCAGTAAGGTGAGGTCTCTACCGCAGTAAGGTGAGGTCTCTACTGCAGTAAGGTGAGGTCTCTACCGCAGTAAGGTGAGGTCTCTACCGCAGTTAGGTGAGGTCTCTACCGCAGTAAGGTGAGGTCTCTACCGCGGTCAGGTGAGGTCTCTACCGCAGTAAGGTGAGGTCTCTAGCGCAGTAAGGTGAGGTCTCTAGCGCAGTAAGGTGAGGTCTCTAGCGCAGTCAGGTGAGGTCTCTAGCGCAGTAAGGTGAGGTCTCTACCGCAGTAAGGTGAGGTCTCTAGCGCAGTAAGGTGAGGTCTCTACCGCAGTAAGGTGAGGTCTCTACCGCAGTTAGGTGAGGTCTCTAGCGCAGTAAGGTGAGGTCTCTACCGCAGTAAGGTGAGGTCTATACCGCGCAGTAAGGTGAGGTCTCTACCGCAGTAAGGTGAGGTCTATACCGCGCAGTAAGGTGAGGTCAGGTTTAAAGACAGGAAATGCCATAGATGTTCTGTACCAATGCTCACTCTTCTCTTCTCAGGTGAAGGACCTCGTGGCGAGAATCTACACAAAATGGCAGCTTTTACTCCAAAAGTCGAGACCTCTGAATGTACAGCACCTCACTCTCTCTCATGACACTTACACAGAACACACTCTCTCATGACACAAACACAAACACTGAACAGAACACACTCTCTCATGACACTTACACAGAACACACTCTCTCATGACACTTACACAAACACAGAACACACTCTCTCATGACACAAACACAGAACACACTCTCTCATGACACAAACACAGAACACACTCTCTCATGACACTTACACAGAACACACTCTCTCATGACACTTACACAAACACAGAACACACTCTCTCATGACACAAACACAGAACACACTCTCTCATGACACAAACACAGAACACACTCTCTCATGACACAAACACAGAACACACTCTCTCATGACACAAACACAGAACACACTCTCCTGACACAAACACAGAACACACTCTCTCATGACACTTACACAAACACAGAACACACTCTCTCATGACACACAAAACACAGAACACACTCTCTCATGACACAACACAAACACAGAACACACTCTCTCATGACAACACAAACACAGAACACACTCTCTCATGACACAAACACAAACACAGAACACACTCTCTCATGACACAAACACAGAACACACTCTCTCATGACACAAACACAGAACACACTCTCTCATGACACAAACACAAACAACACACTCTCATGACACAAACACAAACACAGAACACACTCTCTCATGACACACACAAACACAGAACACACTCTCTCATGACACACAAACACAGAACACACTCTCTCATGACACAAACACAGAACACACTCTCTCATGACACAAACACAAACACAGAACACACTCTCTCTCATGACACTTACACAAACACAGAACACACTCTCTCATGACACTTACACAAACACAGAACACACTCTCTCATGACACAAACACAGAACACACTCTCTCATGACACAAACACAAACACAGAACACACTCTCTCATGACACAAACACAAACACAGAACACACTCTCTCATGACACAAACACAGAACACACTCTCTCATGACACAAACACAGAACACACTCTCTCATGACACAAACACAGAACACACTCTCTCATGACACAAACACAGAACACACTCTCTCATGACACAAACACAGAACACACTCTCTCATGACACAAACACAGAACACACTCTCTCATGACACAAACACAGAACACACTCTCTCATGACACAAACACAGAACACACTCTCTCATGACACAAACACAGAACACACTCTCTCATGACACAAACACAGAACACACTCTCTCATGACACTTACACAGAACACACTCTCTCATGACACTTACACAAACACAGAACACACTCTCTCATGACACTTACACAAACACAGAACACACTCTCTCATGACACTTACACAAACACAGAACACACTCTCTCATGACACAAACACAGAACACACTCTCTCATGACACAAACACAAACACAGAACACACTCTCTCATGACACTTACACAAACACAGAACACACTCTCTCATGACACTTACACAAACACAGAACACACTCTCTCATGACACAAACACAGAACACACTCTCTCATGACACTTACACAGAACACACTCTCTCATGACACAAACACAGAACACACTCTCTCATGACACAAACACAGAACACACTCTCTCATGACACAAACACAGAACACACTCTCTCATGACACTTACACAAACACAGAACACACTCTCTCATGACACTTACACAAACACAGAACACACTCTCTCATGACACTTACACAAACACAGAACACACTCTCTCATGACACAAACACAGAACACACTCTCTCATGACACAAACACAAACACAGAACACACTCTCTCATGACACTTACACAAACACAGAACACACTCTCTCATGACACAAACACAGAACACACTCTCTCATGACACTTACACAAACACAGAACACACTCTCTCATGACACTTACACAAACACAGAACACACTCTCTCATGACACAAACACAGAACACACTCTCTCATGACACAAACACAGAACACACTCTCTCATGACACAAACACAGAACACACTCTCTCATGACACAAACACAGAACACACTCTCTCATGACACAAACACAGAACACACTCTCTCATGACACAAACACAGAACACACTCTCTCATGACACAAACACAGAACACACTCTCTCATGACACAAACACAGAACACACTCTCTCATGACACTTACACAAACACAGAACACACTCTCTCATGACACAAACACAGAACACACTCTCTCATGACACAAACACAGAACACACTCTCTCATGACACAAACACAGAACACACTCTCTCATGACACAAACACAGAACACACTCTCTCATGACACTTACACAAACACAGAACACACTCTCTCATGACACAAACACAGAACACACTCTCTCATGACACAAACACAGAACACACTCTCTCATGACACTTACACAGAACACACTCTCTCATGACACAAACACAGAACACACTCTCTCATGACACTTACACAGAACACACTCTCTCATGACACTTACACAAACACAGAACACACTCTCTCATGACACTTACACAAACACAGAACACACTATCTCATGACACTTACACAGAACACACTCTCTCATGACACAAACACAGAACACACTCTCTCATGACACTTACACAGAACACACTCTCTCATGACACTTACACAAACACAGAACACACTCTCTCATGACACTTACACAAACACAGAACACACTATCTCATGACACTTACACAAACACAGAACACACTCTCTCATGACACAAACACAGAACACACTCTCTCATGACACAAACACAGAACACACTCTCTCATGACACTTACACAAACACAGAACACACTCTCTCATGACACAAACACAGAACACACTCTCTCATGACACTTACACAGAACACACTCTCTCATGACACAAACACAGAACACACTCTCTCATGACACAAACACAAACACAGAACACACTCTCTCATGACACAAACACAGAACACACTCTCTCATGACACAAACACAGAACACACTCTCTCATGACACAAACACAGAACACACTCTCTCATGACACAAACACAGAACACACTCTCTCATGACACAAACACAGAACACACTCTCTCATGACACAAACACAGAACACACTCTCTCATGACACAAACACAGAACACACTCTCTCATGACACAAACACAAACACAGAACACACTCTCTCATGACACTTACACAGAACACACTCTCTCATGACACAAACACAGAACACACTCTCTCATGACACTTACACAAACACAGAACACACTCTCTCATGACACAAACACAAACACAGAACACACTCTCTCATGACACAAACACAAACACAGAACACACTCTCTCATGACACTTACACAGAACACACTCTCTCATGACACAAACACAGAACACACTCTCTCATGACACTTACACAAACACAGAACACACTCTCTCATGACACAAACACAGAACACACTCTCTCATGACACAAACACAGAACACACTCTCTCATGACACAAACACAGAACACACTCTCTCATGACACAAACACAGAACACACTCTGAGCTCCGCCTTCTCTCTCTCAGGGGAAACTCTACGACTACTGGCAGCCACTGCAAGGCGACGCTGGGGGACGCCAAGACATCCAGGAGATCTCATCCAGTCAGAACGGAGCAGAGGAGGAGGAGGAGGCGGAGGAGGCTGGTTCACCACACGACATGGATGAGGACATGGATGAGGACATGGATGAGGACATGGATGAGGACATGGATGAGGACATGGATGAGGACATGGATGAGGACATGGATGAGGACATGGATGAGGACATGGATGAGGACATGGATGAGGACAGGGGCACAGAGAGACAGACGGGGCCCCCTCCCGGCCCCCCTCTTCCAGCCCCCAACAGAAGCTGACTCATCATCAGGGATCTCAGCAGACTCCTTTTGCACTATGACTGCGGTCACTTTCTAATTAAAGAATGTTTAAAATATTTTTCCAAAGTTCCATCACTGCACTGAACTCACAATAATATTTCTTTATTCAATAAATGCAATAAACTTTTTACTCAAAACAAATGTGCTGTGAAAAAAGTGACATTTGTTGCAATTGTTATTTTTGATATCTGATGATGTAATTATTGATGTTTATTCATATTTTATTAAACGGTTTCTGTGTTTTGCAAATGTTTCTCTTTTCTACCACTGTGTTTTATATCAGTAATAAAGTTATTTGTTAAAGATTAACTTGAAACAGCTTTAATTTCTCTGCACTTTTACATTTGTTCTTCTGTTTCCAGTGGACTTTGCTCTCGTGTTTATGTCACTCAGACTTTCTGCTTTGATCGATCTTTGGAACAAATATTCTTTAGTTTCCCTCATGACCCGAGGTCTTTAAGAGAGGAACCATTTTGTCCCTCAGTGGGAGACAGCACTCTGGCTAAGCACACTTCAAACCAGATCATAAAGAAGATAAACTCTGGAGCTGTAAGTGCAGTAGGTCATGGGTCAGATACTGTTGTTTATGCAGCATCATGAGGTACAGATGGAACCCAAGCACTATAAACAGATTATTTTACTGAAAGTTCACACAAATAACAGACTGTGAGGTGAAAGTAAAACGATTCATAATCCTGATTTTTTTGTTGTTGTTTAAACCAAAAAGTTGGGCAGCACAAGTATTCATTTACAGTCTAATTTATACAGATAATACTTTGTGGAACCCCTTTGGCTGCAAGATCTGCACATCTAGAGACAGAAAGTTTAGCCTATTCCTCTTTACAAAACAACTTGAGCTCCGTCTAATTAGATGGAGATACAGTCAGCAGCTTACACTCTACTCCACCTTCCCCGTTGCTAGCTGGTTGCAGCTGGTTGCTAGGCGCTGGTTGCCTAGCGCTGGTTGCTAGGCGCTCGCAGTCAGGTGACAGTCTGCAGACCCAACATGGCGGACCTGTCAGAAGACCAATGAGAGGAAGGCCACATCTGACTGTTTAGATCAGCTTCACTGCCTTTAAGACCTCGGCCTCTTTCTCTCGGGAACTGTTGGAAGAGTCTCGTCCAGGGTAAGTGTCCTCCGCGGCTTCAACACCGCAGAGGAGGCTATGCTAACGCGCTAACGTGCTGCCAACGCTGTGTATGCTAACGTCAAGCTAATGCAAAGCTAATGTGGCTAACAGCTAACAACAGGAGCTTCACTGCAGCTGTTTCAGATACTTTCCTTAAATACTGCTGTGTTAAAAAGACCGAATATAAACCCAGAGCTACAGGTGCTGCTCCTGTGTCCGTGCAGATGGAACACATGACTCTGATTCACAAAGTAAACAAACTTAACCCTGTGCAGGATCATGGCCTGCTCACAACAAAACTCATGTAAAGAAGTCACAACAACTATAGTGTTCATTGGAATATCTACTCTTAAGGCTGAGAGTATAATGACATCATAGTTATTTCTCCTGTGGTTTGTGCTCCTGCTGAAAAAGTCAATGGTCCTGTGTGTGTTAATGTGTGTATTATTCGTCCCACAGAAATGCCAGTGTTGCATTAGCAGTTACAGAGCAGTAGAATGAGGAGCACACAGCACAAGATGAATGAACAATAACTCTATACTAACATATAATAACATCTCTAACTTTAACATAATATAGAAGCAAGAAATAGGTGTAAAATCTCTAACTTATTATAGAATGAAGTATGAATGCTGTATGTCCTAGTGCAGAAATATAGAGTTTTATGTTGGCATCTGTATATCAGAAGCATGTTTCCTTTGCTTGAATGAAATCGAAGTCATTCATACGTTCAGACTCTGTCAATAGGTCACTTGTTTGAAGCTGGTCATGGACATTTCTCAGTCACATGATGAGGTCCAGTGCAGACATCAGAGGCCGCTTGGTTCTGGAAACTTTGTGACGTTTTGTCTTTATAATGTTAAATGATTTGTGTAACTTTGCACAACCTAAGCGCATAGAACAATGGTAGTTTATTTATTTCTACATAAAAATTCAATACAAAATTCAATTCTATTTATTTGTTTATTGCCCTAAATCACATCAACAGTTTCTCAGAGGACTTTAGAAAGATGTCGATTCTCCAGCACAGATCAGAGAATCGAACGGTTCAAACACAGAGAATGCAATGATAACAAACACCATAAGAGCCATAAGTCGCTGCTCTGTTTCTTAGCTCGCTTCTCACTGACATTTACAACACCTCTCTGGGGTCATGTCCCGGCCTGCTTCAAATCCTCCATCATAGTCCCCGTCCCGAAGAAGACCAGGATCACAGGACTCAACGACTACAGACCCGTGGCTCTGACATCTGTAGTCATCAAGTCCTTCGAGCGCCTGGGTCCTCCCCCCCTCCTGGACCCCCTGCAGTTCGCCTACAGAGCCAACAGATCTGTGATGAATGAGCAAAACTCCCCCATCACCTCTGCCCCACCCTCCGTGATGGACTCCCCCATCACCTCTGCCCCACCCTCCGTGATGGACTCCCCCATCACCTCTGTGGAGTCCTTCCGTTTCCTGGGCACCACCATCACCCAGGACCTCAAGTGGGAGCCGACCATCAGCTCCCTCATCAAGAAGGCCCAGCAGAGGATGTACTTCCTGCGGCAGCTCAGGAAAGCCAAGCTGCAGTTCTACACCTCCTCCACCTCCTCCATCACCTCCTCCACCTCCTCCATCACCTCCTCATCACCTCCTCCATCACCTCCTCCATCACCTCCTCCATCACCTCCTCATCACCTCCTCATCACCTCCTCCATCACCTCCTCCATCACTTCCTCCTTCACCTCCTCCATCACCTCCTCATCACCTCCTCATCACCTCCTCATCACCTCCTCATCACCTCCTCCATCACCTCCATCACCTCCTCATCACCTCCTCCACCACCTCCTCCGTCACCTCCTCCGTCACCTCCTCCGTCACCTCCTCCGTCACCTCCTCCGTCACCTCCTCCGTCACCTCCTCCATCACCTCCTCATCACCTCCTCATCACCTCCTCCATCACCTCCTCCATCACCTCCTCATCACCTCCATCACCTCCTCATCACCTCCTCATCACCTCCTCCATCACCTCCTCCATCACCTCCTTCATCACCTCCTCATCACCTCCTCCGTCACCTATTCCGTCACCTCCTCCGTCACCTCCTCCGTCACCTCCTCCGTCACCTCCTCCTTCACCTCCTCCGTCACCTCCTCCGCCACCTCCTCCGTCACCTCCTCCGCCACCTCCTCCGTCACCTCCTCCGTCACCTCCTCCGTCACCTCCTCCATCACCTCCTCCATCACCTCCTCCACCACCTATCCACCACCTCCTCCATCACCTCCTCCATCACCTCCTCCACCACCTCCTCCATCACCTCCTCCACCACCTCCTCCATCACCTCCTCCATCACCTCCTCCATCACCTCCTTCATCACCTCCTCATCACCTCCTCCGTCACCTCCTCCGTCACCTCCTCCGTCACCTCCTCCTTCACCTCCTCCTTCACCTCCTCCGTCACCTCCTCCGCCACCTCCTCCGTCACCTCCTCCATCACCTCCTCCACCACCTCCTCCATCACCTCCTCCACCACCTCCTCCACCACCTCCTCCGTCACCTCCTCCGTCACCTCCTCCGTCACCTCCTCCGTCACCTCCTCCGTCACCTCCTCCGTCACCTCCTCCACCACCTATCCACCACCTCCTCCATCACCTCCTCCATCACCTCCTCCACCACCTCCTCCACCACCTCCTCCATCACCTCCTCCACCACCTCCTCCATCACCTCCTCCTTCACCTCCTCCGTCACCCTCCTCCGTCACCTCCTCCATCACCTCCTCCATCATCTCCTCCACCACCTATCCACCACCTCCTCCATCACCTCCTCCATCACCTCCTCCATCACCTCCTCCATCACCTCCTCCATCACCTCCTCCATCACCTCCTCATCACCTCCTCCGTCACCTCCTCCTCCGTCACCTCCTCCTTCACCTCCTCCGTCACCTCCTCCGCCACCTCCTCCGTCACCTCCTCCATCACCTCCTCCATCACCTCCTCCATCACCTCCTCCGTCACCTCCTCCGTCACCTCCTCCGTCACCTCCTCCGTCACCTCCTCCGTCACCTCCTCCATCACCTCCTCCATCACCTCCTCCACCACCTATCCACCACCTCCTCCATCACCTCCTCCATCACCTCCTCCATCACCTCCTCCATCACCTCCTCCACCACCTCCTCCATCACCTCCTCCACCACCTCCTCCATCACCTCCTCCATCACCTCCTCCATCACCTCCTCATCACCTCCTCCATCACCTCCTCCATCACCTCCTCATCACCTCCTCCATCACCTCCTCCATCACCTCCTCCATCACCGTGTGGTTCGCTGGAGCCACAGTCAGGGACAAACAGAGACTACAGTGCATTGTGCGCTCTGCAGAGGAAGTGATCGGCCGCAGCCTTCCATCGCTGCAGGACCTGTACGTCGCCCGAGCTCGAGGCCGGGCTGGTCGTATCACAGCCGACCCCTCTCACCTGCACATGGACTATTCCAACCACTCCCCTCTCACCTGCACATGGACTATTCCAACCACTCACCTCTCACCTGCACATGGACTATTCCAACCACTCCCCTCTCACCTGCACATGGACTATTCCAACCACTCCCCTCTCACCTGCACATGGACTATTCCAACCACTCCCCTCTCACCTGCACATGGACTATTCCAACCACTCCCCTCTCACCTGCACATGGACTATTCCAACCACTCCCCTCTCACCTGCACATGGACTATTCCAACCACTCCCCTCTCACCTGCACATGGACTATTCCAACCACTCCCCTCTCACCTGCACATGGACTATTCCAACCACTCCCCTCTCACCTGCACATGGACTATTCCAACCACTCCCCTCTCACCTGCACATGGACTATTCCAACCACTCCCCTCTCACCTGCACATGGACTATTCCAACCACTCCCCTCTCACCTGCACATGGACTATTCCAACCACTCCCCTCTCACCATGCACTATGGACTATTCCAACCACCCCCTCCTCTCACCCTGCACATGGACTATTCCAACCACTCCCCTCTCACCCTGCACATGGACTATTCCAACCACTCCCCTCTCACCTGCACATGGACTATTCCAACCACTCCCCTCTCACCTGCACATGGACTATTCCAACCACTCCCCTCTCACCCTGCACATGGACTATTCCAACCACTCCCCTCTCACCTGCACATGGACTATTCCAACCACTCCCCTCTCACCTGCACATGGACTATTCCAACCACTCACCTCTCACCTGCACATGGACTATTCCAACCACTCCTCTCAGGCAGGAGGCTGCGGTCCATCAGGACTAGAACCTCCCGCCACAAGAACAGTTTCTTCCCCTCTGCTGTTGGACTTTTGAACACTTCTTAAACCACTTCTGACCTCTGACCTCTGACTTTATGACCGTCACTTTATGCTACTGTTACTTTACTGCACTTTACTGCACTCTTAAGGGTCTGTTGTGTGCACTTGTACAGTATAGAATATTTTAGGTAATGTTGTTTTATATATGTGTTTTTTAGTCATTGTGTTTATTTTTGTGTACAGCACTTTGGCTGAACTGTAAAGTTTTTAAAGTGCTTTATAAATAAAGCTGGTATGGTATGGTATGGTATAGAAAACTGTAGAAATGTATGTAGATTTTTATTGATGCCTTTGTTTTTATTCTGATTTAACTTGTTTGCACCAAAGATATTTCACAGTTTGTGACTTCCTGTTACTCACACATGGCAATAAAATAAATCTGATTCTGATTAATCTTACATACTACATAGTCAACATACAGTGGACGACCAAGTGAAACAGATAATTATTTAAATATAGTAATACTTTGCTCTTTTGTATCAATGTTTGACTCTGTCCACCTCCGGTCTCTGCATCTCCTGCTGTCGTGTGTTGCATCTTTCACAACTTGTGTCTGTTTCTGGTTCTTGTGGATGGTCTGTTGTTTCCTTGATGACAAAAAGCCACCAGTTCGTGCACATTCCTGGGCTGCCATGCATGAACGATGATAGCAAACCTGTTTATTTATGTAACCACAGTGTTAGACAGACTTTATTGATCCACAGGGACGTTGCGTTGTCACCATAGCTTGCAAAGTATTCCACAACAAAAATAATGTTAAAGTAAAATCTGAAAATTAGAAAAATAAGACAATAAAGAACTGTTGGTATAAAAACCTGTAAAATAACACAAATATAAATGTATTATTCTTGTTCTATTCATTGTAGTTGTGCTCCTTCCAGATGAGTGTGTTTCCGGCGCTGAGCAGAAGTGAGTGTTCGGAGGCTCAGGTTTGGGAGAGAGCGTGGACCATCGAAGAGATGAGGCAGAACAGCACCAGCTGGTCCCTGGCAGCCGACTCCGGGGTAAGACCCGAGGACAGAGACCTGAGGACAGAGACCTGAGGAGAAGAGACCTGAGGATGTTGTGTCAAATGTTTACATGAAAACAAAATGTGATAAATGTGGAAATGTGTTGAATGTTGAGGATTCTAATGTGTGTTTCTCTCTCTCTCTCTGTGTGTTTCTCTCTGTGTGTGTTTCTCTCTGTGTCTGTGTGTTTCTCTCTCTGTCTGTGTGTTTCTCTCTCTGTCTGTGTCTCTCTCTCTCTCTGTCTCTCTCTCTGTTCCTCAGCTCTTCCTGTTCCTGCAGGACTTCAGTCAGAGGATGTTGTCCCAGACCCATGACATGGAGAAGCAGCTGGACGCTCTGATCAGAGACACCACGGCCACAGACGTGTGTCTGCACTCTGTGTTCAACGACTTCATCATGCTCTCCAACACACAGTTCATCGAAAATGTGTGTGTTTTTGTGTGTGTCTGTCTGTCTGTCTGTGTGTGTCTCTCTGTCTCTCTGTGTGTGTGTGTGTCTAACAGCTGTTCCTGTTACAGAGAGTGTACGATGAGGAGGTGGAAGACTCGGTGCCTAAAGCCGACGTGTCAGAGCCAGAGCAGGTAAAGGAACATGTCCCTTAGGTCTGTGGTCCCTGTGGGCCCCTGTACTGTTGTGTGTCTGTTGTGTGACTGTTGTGTGTCTGTTGTGTGTCTGTTTTGTGACTGTTGTGTGACTGTTGTGTGTGTGTGTGTTGCAGGAGAAGACCCGGGAGCAGAAGGAGGCGGAGCTAATCCCTAAGATGCAGGAGGCGGTGAGCTATGGCCTCAAAGTGCTGGAGTCGGCCTTCGAGCACCTGGACCTGAAGGCCGGGAACTCGGACTCAGAGGACGAGGAGGCCCCAGACCGAGAGGACGCCATTTTGGAGCCCAAGGTCTGTCACACGGTTATTATTATTATTATTATTACTATTCTAGTGAGTTAGTAAGAAGTAAAGTTTATTTATGTAGCACACTGTTACAGACCAAGGCACTTGACAAAGTTCAGATATTCAGACATTGTTCCATTCACACACCAGAACACACTGGACCATCAAAGCCTCCGACCAAACACCATCACTCATTACATTCAGAACTTCTGCACTTGTTTTTAGTGGTTGGGTAAACCGTATGGAGCTATTATTGTTTCAATAATATTTGTGTGTGCGTAAAAAGATTTGTGCGTGCGTAACAAGATTTGTGTGTGCGTAACCAGATTTGTGTGTACGTAAAAAGATTTGTGCGTGCGTAACCAGATTTGTGTGTGCGTAACCAGATTTGTGTGTACGTAAAAAGATTTGTGCGTGCGTAACCAGATTTGTGTGTGTGTAAAATAAATATTTGTGCGTGTGTAAATAGATTTGTATGTACGTATCAAGATTTGTGTGTGCGTAAAAAGATTTGTGTGTCTGTAAAGAAAAAAAAAGTACGTTTTACACTCAAGTTTTTTTTATACACACGAATCTTTTGACGCAGTCCTGCCTTCGCAGATTCGCAAGTGTAACTTGGACTGTGTGCGTGCGTAAACAGATTTGTGTGTGTGTAATTTGACATTTGTATCTGTAGCAGAACAATCTGTGTGTAAATAACCACGTTGTACGAAGAGAAGAACGAAAAAAGCCTAAGTGCTACGCACAGGCTCTGTTTTACACACGAATCTCTTTTTGACACACCTCTGCCGCCAAGCGTGTGTCAAAAAGATTTGTAAGTGTAATGTGGTTGTTCTAGCAGTACACCAGCAGATGGTGCTGTTGTAGCTGGTTATTACCTACACACAAGCAAACCAAAACCTACTGCCTTGACAAGACACTACCGCAGCTGTTTATGATATTGTTTTCCTATATTCAAAATCCTGTCATTCACACCACTGTATTATACATGGATCTATTATAATAACTGGTTTGGGTGTTACTAGCTTGGAGCTGAAGAATTCTCACGTACTGCAGACTAAAATCACGTGGACTACACAGCCATTTTCCCCATAGAACTCAAAGTAAACTAAAACAGCTGACAGAGAACCTACAGCTTTCATAAAGGTCGGATTTTGTGGGAATTTTAGTGTTCCTTGTCATCCTGAACTTTTCTTCTTCTTAAATCCTTCGGTTTTCTCTATCTACACTATAGTGCCACAAACTCAGCTGGTTTGTTTGTGTGTAGGTAATAACCAGCTACAACAGCACCATCTGCTGGTGTACTGCTAGAACAACCACATTACACTTACAAATCTTTTTGACACACACTTGGCGGCAGAGGTGTGTCAAAAAGAGATTCGTGTGTAAAACAGAGCCTGTGCGTAGCTCTAGGCTTTTTTCGTTCTTCTCTTCGTACAACGTGGTTATTTACACACAGATTGTTCTGCTACAGATACAAATGTCAAATTACACACACACAAATCTGTTTATGCACGCACACAGTCCAAGTTACACTTGCGAATCTGCGAAGGCAGGACTGCGTCAAAAGATTCGTGTGTAAAAAAAAAACTTGTGTGTAAAACGTACTTTTTTCTTTTCTTTACACACACACATCATTCTACGCACACACAAATCTTTTTACGCACACACAAATCTTGATACGTACATACAAATCTATTTACACACGCACAAATATTTATTTTACACACACACAAATCTGGTTACGCACGCACAAATCTGGTTACGCACGCACAAATCTTTTTACGCACACACAAATATTATTGAAACAATAATAGCTCCATACAACCGGAGCACCCAGAGGAAACCTATGCAGACACTGGGAGAACATGCAAACTCCACTCAGAAAGACTGTTCTGACCGAGATTCAAACCTGCAGAGAAATGAGAGTGCTAACCACTCAGCCACCGCCACTGACTTACCACACATGTGTGTGTGTGTGTCACAGAGTGTGTGTCACTGACTTACCACACATGTGTGTGTGTCACAGAGTGTGTGTCACTGACTTACCCCACATGTGTGTGTGTGTGTGTCACAGAGTGTGTGTCACTGACTTACCCCACATGTGTGTGTGTGTGTCACAGAGTGTGTGTCACTGACTTACCCCACATGTGTGTGTGTGTCACAGAGTGTGTGTCACTGACTTACCCCACATGTGTGTGTGTGTCACAGAGTGTGTGTCACTGACTTACCACACGTGTGTGTGTGTGTGTGTGTGTGTGTGTGTGTATCACAGAGTGTGTGTCACTGACTTACCCCACGTGTGTGTGTCCCAGGACCTGTACGTGGACAGACCCCTGCCCTTCCTGATTGGCTCTCAGGCCTTCATGGAGCAGGAGGACGTGGGGCTGGGAGACCTCTCCAGCGACGGTAATAAACAAATACTGTCAGTGTGTTTCACTGTTGGACGTTCAGCTAACCTCATGTGTAACCATGGCAACAGAGATGTCCGTGGACAGTGACCGAGACAGTGTCGTGGAGACCGAAGACGGAAAAGCTGCAGTGGTAAGACTTTCAATCTGTTAAAACCTCTAGGACCATCAGAGAGACCTCTAGGACCATCAGAGAGACCTCTAGGACCATCAGAGAGACCTCTAGGACCATCAGAGACCTCTAGGACCATCAGAGAGACCTCTAGGACCATCAGAGAGACCTCTAGGACCATCAGAGACCTCTAGGACCATCAGAGACCTCTAGGACCATCAGAGAGACCTCTAGGACCATCAGAGAGACCTCTAGGACCATCAGAGAGACCTCTAGGACCATCAGAGAGACCTCTAGGACCATCAGAGAGACCTCTAGGACCATCAGAGACCTCTAGGACCATCAGAGAGACCTCTAGGACCATCAGAGAGACCTCTAGGACCATCAGAGAGACCTCTAGGACCATCAGAGAGACCTCTAGGACCATCAGAGACCTCTAGGACCATCAGAGAGACCTCTAGGACCATCAGAGAGACCTCTAGGACCATCAGAGAGACCTCTAGGACCATCAGAGAGACCTCTAGGACCATCAGAGAGACCTCTAGGACCATCAGAGAGACCTCTAGGACCATCAGAGACCTCTAGGACCATCAGAGACCTCTAGGACCATCAGAGACCTCTAGGACCATCAGAGACCTCTAGGACCATCAGAGACCTCTTGCACCATCAGAGAGACCTCTAGGACCATCAGAGCACCATCAGAGACCTCTAGGACCATCAGAGAGACCTCTAGCACCATCAGAGACCTCTAGCACCATCAGAGCACCATCAGAGACCTCTAGGACCATCAGAGACCTCTAGGACCATCAGAGACCTCTAGGACCATCAGAGAGACCTCTAGCACCATCAGAGACTTCTAGCACCATCAGAGACCTCTCGGACCATCAGAGACCTCTCGGACCATCAGAGACCTCTAGGACCGGACCATCAGAGACCTCTAGGACCGGACCATCAGAGACCTCTAGGACCGGACCATCAGAGACCTCTAGGACCGGACCATCAGAGACTTCTAGGACCATCAGAGACTTCTAGGACCATCAGAGCACCATCGTAGACCTCCAGGACAATTGAAAACCATTAGCAACAGGACGTCGAAACAGTGCAACCACAATCTTGAACTTGAGAAAATCTAAAGTGCAGTGTTATGTTGCACGTGTAAGGCAAGGCAGGTTTATTTGTATCGCACACTTCCGACACAAGACAACAGTGCTGTGTGTTTCTGCTTCTACAACGGAACACAAAAGATCTGATTTCATTCTAACATGTGTCCTGCAGCATTCTGATGAAGACTACAACCAGGACGAAGAGGAGACCCCAGAGCTGATCAAGAAGGTAGCTCCCTTATGGCAGGGGTCTTTGGAGAGCTCCGAGGGTCTTATGGGAGGGGTCTTTGGAGCTCCGGGGGTCTTATGGCAGGGGTCTTTGGAGCTCCGGGGGTCTTATGGGAGGGGTCTTTGGAGCTCCGAGGGTCTTATGGCAAGGGTCTTTGGAGCTCCGGGGGTCTTATGGCAGGGGTCTTTGGAGCTCCGGGGGTCTTATGGGAGGGGTCTTTGGAGCTCCAAGGGTCTTATGGGAGGGGTCTTTGGAGCTCCAAGGGTCTTATGGCAGGGGTCTTTTGCGCTCCGGGGGTCTTATGGCAGGGGTCTTTGGAGCTCCGGGGGTCGTATGGGGGGGGGGGGGGGGGGTTTTGGAGCTCCGGGGGTCTTATGGGAGGGGTCTTTGGAGCTCCAAGGGTCTTATGGCAGGGGTCTTTGGCGCTCCGGGGGTCTTATGGCAGGGGTCTTTGGAACTCCGGGGGTCGTATGGGAGGGGTCTTTGGAGCTCCGGGGGTCTTATGGCAGGGGTCTTTGGAGCTTCGAGGGTCTTATGGCAGGGGTCTTTGGAGCGCCGGGGGTCTTGTGGCAGGGGTCTTTGGAGCTTCGAGGGTCTTATGGCAGGGGTCTTTGGAGCTCCGGGGGTCTTATGGCAGGGGTCTTGTGGCAGGGGTCTTTGGAGCTTCGAGGGTCTTATGGCAGGGGTCTTTGGAGCTCCGGGGGTCTTATGGCAGGGGTCTTATGGGAGGGGTCTTTGGCGCTCCGGGGGTCTTATGGGAGGGGTCTTTGGAGCTCCAGGGGTCGTATGGGAGGGGTCTTTGGAGCTTCGAGGGTCTTATGGCAGGGGTCTGTGGAGCTCCAAGGGTCTTATGGCAGGGGTCTTTGGAGCGCCGGGGGTCTTGTGGCAGGGGTCTTTGGAGCTTCGAGGGTCTTATGGCAGGGGTCTTTGGAGCTCCGGGGGTCTTATGGCAGGGGTCTTATGGGAGGGGTCTTTGGAGCTTCGAGGGTTTTATGGCAGGGGTCTTTGGAGCTCCGGGGGTCTTATGGAAGGGCTGTTTGGGTCTAAAGGGGTCTTATGGGAGGGGTGTTTGGGGCTCCGGGGGTCTTATGGCTCCTGGGGTCTAACATGATTGTCCCTGAGCAGAAGTCCTCCATGCTGAGTTATGATGATGAAGATGAAGACGAGGACTCGGACATTTTCGGAGACTCTGACAAAGAGGATGAAGAGGAGTCAAAGGTGCGACACTCAAAACTATTCACATTCACAGATGTAGAAGAAGGAAGTACAGACGAGGAGTGTGACAGAGGGTGGATGGAGGGTGGATGGAGGGTGGATGGAGGGTGGATGGAGGGTGGATGGAGGGTGGATGGAGGGTGGATGGAGGGTGGATGGAGGGTGGATGGAGTGTGGGTAGAGTGTGGGTAGAGTGTGGGTAGAGTGTGGGTAGAGTGTGGGTAGAGTGTGGGTAGAGTGTGGGTAGAGTGTGGGTAGAGTGTGGGTAGAGTGTGGGTAGAGTGTGGGTAGTGTGGGTAGAGTGTGGGTAGAGTGTGGGTAGAGTGTGGGTAGAGTGTGGGTAGAGTGTGTAATACCGGCTGTTGCACAAACTACAACACGACACAGAACACAAACAACAATTCAAACAGAAGCTCGATTGTAAATATAGAATAAAAGTTTTCCAGGTTTGTCTTTCTGTGAAGTTATTAGTTTGTTTTATGAATGAATTTAAAAAGGTATAAAAAATACTTCTGGATTTCAGCATTTTGCATCAAACTGAATGTGCCCAAACACACACCTCTGTAATAACACCTGGCTTCTCCTATACTCGAACATGCATCTGTTGGCCTTGTCTCAGTAGGATCCGGTTTAAGCACAACAGTGGAGCAGAAATGGTTCCAGTTATTCCACATGCTCTGGATTTCCATAGGTTTATATGAGTCTTGTTGAATCCAGTGCAATATAAATAAATCTTCCTTCTTCCTTGTGTGGTGGTCCCAGAGCACACAGCAGGCATCGTTCGCTGATGAGCTGGCAGCTAGGATCAAAGGGGAAACGAAACCAGAGGCCGACCGAGCATGTAAGACACACACAGACATAGACATGATGCAGCGGATACAGCTCATCTTAAAACTGCTGATGTGTGTGTGTGTGTGTGTGTGTGTGCGTGATTGTGTGTGTTCATGAACCTGTGTGTCCCCAATCTCTAAAGCTTTGTCATCAAAGAAGAAGAGTAAGATCCAGAGAGAGTCTAAGCCTGCGCCGCCTGAGGGTAAGACTTCTATTTGGGTAATTATTTATTCAGTTTTAATTTTTCAAATGTACTTTATTCTATAAGAAAAACTATTGAAACAATACAACAGTTGTGACATTTCAAAGCAGTTGCTCCTTTGACAACAATAAACATGGATGAGAAAAACATTCAGTTTGTGATTTCTATAAAGATCAAACCTTTTCCATTTAATGAATCTGATCTGTCTGTTTGAAACTTTTTCTTATTGCTTCTTATCGCTGACACACGTTTAAGATGAGGAAATACAGCACATAGCCTGTGTTGTTACTGCAGGTGGAGTTCAAAAATATTATGATTTTTCCATTTGGGCCAAGTTTCCCTCTTTTTTTAGGTTCTGTAATAAAGAATGGCATCAGGTTCTTTCAACAGACCTCAGTTCAGATATATTGTTTTTTTCATACTTCCCAATCCACAGATGGACTGGGTTTAGTGACTCTGTGACGTCTTTTACCTCTGGGTGTGAGCCACAGACAGATGCAGCAGTAATAATGGTCTGTAGTGACTGTGTGACGTCTCTGCAGCAGATGAGGACAGTGATGACATGTTCAAACCGCCAAAGATGGAGGATGAGGAGGAGGAGGAGGAAGATGAGCTGTCTGCCTTTGGAGGGAGGAGTGGCCTCTTCAGCGGGGGGAGGGGCCTGTTTGATGACGATGACGAGGTTTGGCTTCTTAGTATCTTTGTAGAATCTGGGGTTCGATGTATCTATTTAAATTAGGGCTGTCAAACGATTAACATACTTTAGTTGATTAATCGCACTATTAATTGCTTTTTCCATGTTGTGTACAACTGTCTGAAGTCCTCTCCTATTAGTCCTGGTCTCAGGTCTCTGTCCTGAAGTCCTCTCACATTAGTCCTGGTCTCAGGTCTCTGTCCTGAAGTCCTCTCCTATTAGTCCTGGTCTCAGGTCTCTGTCCTGAAGTCCTCTCCTATTAGTCCTGGTCTCAGGTCTCTGTCCTGAAGTCCTCTCACATTAGTCCTGGTCTCAGGTCTCTGTCCTGAAGTCCTCTCACATTAGTCCTGGTCTCAGGTCTCTGTCCTGAAGTCCTCTCACATTAGTCCTGGTCTCAGGTCTCTGTCCTGAAGTCCTCTCACATTAGTCCTGGTCTCAGGTCTCTGTCCTGAAGTCCTCTCACATTAGTCCTGGTCTCAGGTCTCTGTCCTGAAGTCCTCTCACATTAGTCCTGGTCTCAGGTCTCTGTCCTGAAGTCCTCTCACATTAGTCCTGGTCTCAGGTCTCTGTCCTGGCATTTTTAACATTTCATTTCCAAAATGCGCAGACACGCACAGACACGCACAGACACGCGCAGACACGCGCAGACACGCGCAGACACGCGCAGACACGCGCAGACACGCGCAGACACGCGCAGACACGCGCAGACACGCGCAGACACGCGCAGACACGCGCAGACACGCGCAGACACGCGCAGACACGCGCAGACACGCGCAGACACGCGCAGACACGCACAGACACGCACAGACACGCACAGACACGCAGAGAATAGTCCTGTGGCATTCACTGTGTTGTTGTTAGTGTCTCACAGCCGCGGGAGCTGAGTGTTGTTATGGGATACATGGGCGGGTCATTCGGACATGGGTTAAACACGTTAATTTTAACGTGCGCAAATTTGACAGGCCTAATTTAAAACCAACGACCACACTCTCCAGACTTTAGGACACCACTGTTTTCTAGTCTTGTAGTCTTGGTTTCTGTCGTTTCAGGGAGACCTTTTCTCTGACGCTCCCAAACCAGCAGCAGCAGAAGAAGAGAAACACATCCAGCACGTGGCTAAAACATCGCCCCCTGCAGGTGAGACCCAGCTACAGCAGAGCAATTGTTGATCAGATGAATTTCAAACTGCATGAAGTATGTTGTTGCTTTGTACTTTTTAATCATCAGAGTAACAACAAGCAGACATCAGAGTCACAACAGACATCATAGAGTCACAGCAGACATCATAGAGTCACAGCAGACATCATAGAGTCACAGCAGACATCATAGAGTCACAACAGACATCATAGAGTCACAACAGACATCATAGAGTCACAGCAGACATCATAGAGTCACAGCAGACATCATAGAGTCACAACAGACATCATAGAGTCACAGCAGACATCATAGAGTCACAGCAGACATCATAGAGTCACAACAGACATCATAGAGTCACAACAGACATCATAGAGTCACAGCAGACATCATAGAGTCACAGCAGACATCATAGAGTCACAACAGACATCATAGAGTCACAGCAGACATCATAGAGTCACAGCAGACATCATAGAGTCACAACAGACATCATAGAGTCACAACAGACATCATAGAGTCACAACAGACATCATAGAGTCACAGCAGACATCATAGAGTCACAACAGACATCATAGAGTCACAGCAGACATAGAGTCACAACAGACATCATAGAGTCACAGCAGACATCATAGTCACAACAGACATCATAGAGTCACAACAGACATCATAGAGTCACAACAGACATCATAGAGTCACAACAGACATCATAGAGTCACAACAGACATCATAGAGTCACAACAGACATCATAGAGTCACAACAGACATCATAGAGTCACAACAGACATCATAGAGTCACAACAGACATCATAGAGTCACAACAGACATCATAGAGTCACAGCAGACATCATAGAGTCACAGCAGACATCATAGAGTCACAGCAGACATCATAGAGTCACAGCAGACATCATAGAGTCACAGCAGACATCATAGAGTCACAGCAGACATCATAGAGTCACAGCAGACATCATAGAGTCACAGCAGACATCATAGAGTCACAGCAGACAAGCAGACTAAGAGTCACAGCAGACATCAAGTCAGAGTCACAGCAGACATCATAGAGTCACAGCACAGCAGACATCATAGAGTCACAGCAGACATCATAGAGTCACAGCAGACATCATAGAGTCACAGCAGACATCATAGAGTCACAGCAGACATCATAGAGTCACAGCAGACATCATAGAGTCACAGCAGACATCATAGAGTCACAGCAGACATCATAGAGTCACAGCAGACATCATAGAGTCACAGCAGACATCATAGAGTCACAGCAGACATCATAGAGTCACAGCAGACATCATAGAGTCACAGCAGACATCATAGAGTCACAGCAGACATCATAGAGTCACAGCAGACATCATAGAGTCACAGCAGACATCATAGAGTCACAGCAGACATCATCATAGAGTCACAGCAGACATCATAGAGTCACAGCAGACATCATAGAGTCACAGCAGACATCATAGAGTCACAGCAGACAGACATAGAGTCACAACAGACAGACATCATAGAGTCACAACAGACATCATAGAGTCACAACAGACATCATAGAGTCACAACAGACATCATAGAGTCACAACTAGGGATGCACCAATCCGATACTGGTATCGATATCGGCGCCGATACCAGAAAAAATACTGGATCGGATATCTGCGTAGAGAGAGGCGCCGTGCTGCCGATCCATTTTCTTTTCTTAAAAAAAAAAATATTATATATATTTTTAATACATACCAGGTACCGCACAATGTCTTAAAATACATTGTGCATAATGTACATATACGTATAAAATGAATGAATTCAAAGTATCAGATGTGACACTTCCTCGTGGCGCTCTACAACAACAACACAGCGTGGAGCAGGACAGAGCGTTGTTCACGCGGCGGTAAACCAGAGAAATACAACACGACTAAGCAGCACGAGAAACAGCACGGGGAGTTTCTGCATCGAAAGGAGATTACGTGAAAACAACGAGACACAGATGACACTGACGCAGAGTCACAAAAAGCTTTTCAGTTCATCATGGGCTCGCAGCCCCATAGACCATTTGGAACCCAGGTCTATGCCGTCGCCAAATACATATCTGAAATCCACTTAAAGCTACGGTACTATTATTTATTTACATTTTCATGCAGCGTGTTTTGTTCTAAGTGTTTTTTTATTCAAACACAGTTAATATAAGTACATTTATATTCAGTAAAAGTATAAGGTTCTAATACAGTGTTGAATGTTTAATGTGAACATTGAGCAGCTCTTTATAGTTCATTATTGCACATTTATGTTGAATCAATTTTTATCTGGAAAGTTTAGCTTTAGTTCATCCACTGCTTTTGCAGTTACTTGAACAAACAGTTCAATTATTAAATACATTTTAGCATGATCAATATCGGTATCGGCAGAAACCCATAGCTCTGGTATCGGTATCGGTAGTAAAAAAGCTGGATCGGTGCATCTCTAGTCACAGCAGACATCAGAGTCACAGCAGACATCACAGAGTCACAGCAGACATCACAGAGTCACAGCAGACATCACAGAGTCACAGCAGACATCACAGAGTCACAGCAGACATCACAGAGTCACAGCAGACATCACAGAGTCACAGCAGACATCACAGAGTCACAGCAGACATCACAGAGTCACAGCAGACATCACAGAGTCACAGATGTCAGATGGAAACAGAGAAGACACTAAAGTGAAATAGAACATTATTATTAACCCATTAAGGCCTGCATCGCCTGGTAAAACAGACCTGGTAAAACAGACCTGGTAAAACAGACCTGGTAAAACAGACCTGGTAAAAGCAAAGGAAGGTTTCTCACCCATCATCTGTACTTCTTAGCAAGTTTTCCCGACGTTTCGTCCTCAACCTAGCGGAGAATGAATTCTCGGACCGCGCGTTGGAGATTTATAACCTATGGGTGTGGTTAGCCACGCCCTAATCCTGATACTAACTCATAAACAATCTAAGGTCTGCTTGATGTAGAAGGGGAGCAGGTCTAACGACCCTGCTGAGGCTAACGACCCTAACTCCTTAGCATGTCACAGACCTATTGTCTGCTGGGATGCTCAAGTGGAGTGCAGGTCTCACCCCTCCTAACTCATTAGCATGTCACTGACCTATTGTCTGCTGGGATGCTCAAGTGGAGTGCAGGTCTCCCCCTCCTAACTCATTAGCATGTCACTGACCTATTGTCTGCTGGGATGCTCAAGTGGAGTGCAGGTCTCACCCCTCCTAACTCATTAGCATGTCACTGACCTTGTCCCAAGTTAGGGCGTTGTTTTTAGGATGTCGTCATAGATGCGAGGCAAAACAAATCTTAACCCTCCTCCTCTGTTAAGAGAAGGTTTTTGTTTCCTCACAAAAATGGCTTCTTTCACTCCTCTCTCAAACCAATTCTTCTCCCGAGCCAGAATTTTAACCTCTGTGTCATCCACCGTGTGGTTGGAGGCCTTGAGGTGGAGATGAACAGCCGACTGTGGCCCACTAGAGTTTTCTCTACGATGTTGGTAAAGTCGTTTCTGTAGAGTTTGTTTGGTTTCTCCAATATAGTGGTCAGTGCACTCCTCTTCACTACATTTAATTGAATACACCACATTGCTCTGTTTGTGTCTGGGTGTTTTGTCTTTGGGATGCACTAATTTCTGTCTTAACGTGTTGAAAGGTTTGAAATACACAGGGATTTTGTGTTGCCTAAAGATTCTTTGTAGTTTCTCTGAAACTCCCGCCACATACGGTAAGGACACCCCTCTCCTCCTACTTTCTTCTGTCTGTTGGACTGTGTCTCTGGCCTTTCTCGTCCTTTGGGCTTTAGTAAAAGACCACTTGGGGTAGCCACATCTGGAAAGTGCTCTCTGAACATGTTTGGTTTCTCTGTTCTTTCCCTCCGAGCTTGTGGGGACCTGGTGGGCTCGGTGTTGAAGCGTTCTAATGACCCCGAGTTTGTGTTGTAGCGGATGATTTGAATCAAAGGCCAGGTACTGGTCAGTGTGAGTGGACTTTCTGAAGACCTCAGTCTCTAATTGTCCGTTCTCCAGTATGATGACCTTACAATCTAGAAAGGCCAGTTCACTCTCCTTAGCATCCTCGCGAGTGAAATTTATAAAAGGGTCCACCGAATTAATGTGTTCTGAAAATGGTTCCACTTCCTGTTTCTTTAACTTAACCCATGTATCGTCTACATATCGAAACCAATGGCTTGGCGCTGTCCCTTGGTAAGAGACAAGGGCTTGTTCCTCCAGTTTCTCCATATACAGATTGGCCACTATAGGAGAGACTGGGGAGCCCATCGCACGGGTCTGTGACATGCTAAGGAGTAAGGGTCGTTAGCCTCAGCAGGGTCGTTAGACCTGCTCCCTTCTACATCAAGCAGACCGTAGATTGTTTATGAGTTAGTATCAGGATTAGGGCGTGGCTAACCACACCCATAGGTTATAAATCTCCAACGCGCGGTCCGAGAATTCATTCCCTGAAGAAGTCCCCAGGTTGAGGACGAAACGTCGGGAAAACTTGCTAAGAAGTACAGATGATGGGTGAGAAACCTTCCTTTGCTTTGACTAATCCCTGTACGACTGAGGGCTTACACAAACTAGTCCTGGTAAAACAGACCTGGTAAAACAGACCTGGTAAAACACACCTGGTAAAACACACCTGGTAAAACACACCTGGTAAAACAGACCTGGTAAAACAGACCTGGTAAAACAGACCTGGTAAAACAGACCTGGTAAAACAACTGGTAACAGACCTGGTAAAACAGACCTGGTAAAACACACCTGGTAAAACACACCTGGTAAAACACACCTGGTAAAACACACCTGGTAAAACACACCTGGTAAAACCTGAGGCCGACTTCAGAACCACCTCCAAAACTTGAAGTTTTCCTGAAATTCAACGTCTACAGAATGGTTGGTATCTCGGCCTCTGCAGCAGATAGAAACATCGTTTCAAAAGAATCTGAGAGATGACACTTGTGGCTTTCAATAAGACTGCAGTGTATTATTATAAACCT